AAAGCATCTATGCTCATTTTTCACTTCTGATGAAAATTGTGTTCATCTTTTCTTAATCTCACGAGCCACACATGAACATTGTGAAAAAAAAAATCAGCTATATTTTTCCAAGCCTAGCAGTCAGTTCTCAGCCCCCATCTTACTTCATCATCACGCCCTCCTTGGCCTATTTGTGAAGATAAAGGAGATGGTGGGAAGAGCAGGTCACTGGGAGGGGGCAGGGTGGGGTCAAGGATGCCAGCAGGAGTCACTGGCTTAAGGGTTGATGTTCATTCCAACTGTAATCATTTGGGTTATTTCTTAAGGTTTATCTTCTCTGCTCGTGTGCAAGCTCCATGAGGCCAGGGGCACAGTCATTCTGCAGCCCTTAGCTCGGGGCTGGTGGGTGGTAGATTCCCGTAATTCGCAGACGGCTCTATGCTGTGAGCTCCCCACATCTTGTGGGCACAGAATCCCTCTAACAACAAATTCAAGGGGCAGTTACCACCCACTGTCCTGACTTCTCCCATTAGAAGACTTACTCCCAGGTTTTATTTCATTATTTTTTTTCCAAAAGAAGTAAATGTTCACTGAAAAAAAAAAAAAAAGACTCAATATATTGTTTACTACACAGTGAAAAAGAATGTGCCCACCTTGGTCCCATTTCCTAAATGTAACTCACCTCAACAACCTGGCATTTCTCATTCTAGATCTTTTTTTCTAAACATTTGATCAATCAATCTGCAAATATTGATTAAGCATCTGTTCTGTGTCAAGCATTGTATCAGGGGAAAGAGACAAACCAGACAAAATTCCTGGAAGGGCATTTCATTCAAACCATAAACACATATGTAACTTATGTATTACATGCATAGATTTTTCTTGTTACAAATGGGATACTGTACACATGCTCTAATAGTCATTCAGTTTAGAAAATCTGAAAAATACCCAAAGTAGAAAAACAGAGAGAAAACCCATCAGTTTTAGATTTATGATACAAAGAGAGTTGCATTTTTTAGTTCTATATAATACCTTGTAGTTGTTTATTTAAATACAGTTTTATTTTATTTTGCAAAGTCATGATCATAATGAAAGCACGTTTTTCCTTCTTTTTTATTGCACAAGTAATGCAAATAGAAAACATAAAGGCAAAATCCCTTCTAAATCTACTACTCAAAATTAATCACTGCTAATCCTTAGTGTTATATATATATATATTTTTTCAAAACCAGAAGCTTGGGACCACACTGAATCTGTCACCGAGTAACCGACTGTTCTCGTAATATATTTCTGCATTGATAATTATAATTCTATACCATCATTTTTATAGCTATAGACTTGGTTGTCATGTGGGTTCACCATCATGAGATCAGCCCATCTCCTTGGACACTAGGGTATATCCAATTTTTTATTTTTCTGTTTATAAGAACACCTGAGTGAGGGAAGCAAAATGTTTGCACATATTCTTAGTTATCTGAGTATGATTTTACATTGTTCTTATTCAATCATATTTTAACTACATCAAAATGTTGATCAAGTTATCATTGATGGTATTCTATGAGATTATTATTTTGTTTTTATACTTGTTTGTTTTCTCTAAATGCTTTGCAATGAACGAGTTTTATTTCATAATCACAAGAGCATTTAAAATTATACCATGAGAAAATTTTCAGAATACCACAGTTTTTTGGTGATGGCTTTTTATGGTACCTGTAATACCATTGTAAGGAGTAGGCCATAATTCACTTAATCATCCCCTATCATTGGCCATTTGGTTTTTTTTCCCAACTTTTCAAGATCATTATGTGGGAACCCCACTCCATATTTGGGGTATGTTCTTGTGGAACAGCCCAGCAAAGGCTGGTGATCCACTTTCACACTGTTGGTACATCCTGCCAAACTGCTTTCCCGAAAGGATGTTCCAATTTTTGTTCCCACCATCAGCGTGTGAGAATGCCTGCCCAGCGGCCCTCCTTTCCCAGAGATGGTTCAGGCCCCTGGACAGTTGCTCTCCCTGCCAGGAGGGCAGGAATGAGCAGGCAGTAGTTTTGTGAGGTATGCCAGGATGATGACCCCAGGGCCAGAACCGCAGGAGTGATTTTAACAAGCCCAGTTCCCAGAACAGAACCTGCAGAGAAGAAGAAAAGCAAGCAAGGAAGAAAAAAACTCTCTGCTGGAAAACATAACACACACACATGCACACACATACACACACAGATTAAAATAATATTTGGCACTTACGTCGCACTTTTAAAATTCTTCAAACGCTTTATAAACACTAGCTAATTAATTAAGCTGCCTAAATCTGGCTGCAGTTGGTGGAGAGAGCTCAGAGGAGCTTAGGAAAAAAGGGTGGGGGCAGCCCTACTCAACTCCAGATTTTATTGTCGCCTGCCCGGGGTGTGATTGCAGGCCTCCGGCTGCACCACAAGAATAGCCGGCTGCAACACATCGCAGGCCTGACTCCGCAGCCGGCTCTCCTGCTCACACGACCCCCCTCGCCAACTGCTGACTCACAGCCCTGTGTGGTGTTATTGAAAGAGATAATAATAACTACCACTTGTTAGGAGCGTCTGTGGGCCAGGCGCAGTCCCTGGCTCCAGGCTCGCACCATCTCCCGGATATGCCTGTAGCAGCTCCATCTAACAGGAGGGAAGAGGCTCAGAGAGGGGCTTTACCCAGGAGAGGGTAAAATCCCACCTTCCTTCCTTTGTTAACTGGTTCATTCACCATGTATTTACTGAGTGCCCAGTGTGTGCCAGACACTCTTCCAGGCAAGCGATTGGAAACAGTTCCTTGTTGATCCTACATCCTTGTTTGGGGGGCACATGACAATCCAGAAAAAATCGAGTATATAAGTAATATATCCGTGGTAATAATGGGAACTGAAACTAAAATTTAGCCAGCACTTATGTGGCAGGTCCTTACATCCAACTGTGTCATAGTCCTCATGACTATGCTGGGGGTGGATGCTGGCACCCCACTTTATGGAAGATGGAATGGAGGCCCAGGGAGGGAGGGCACTGAGCTGGGTACGGGCACCCGCTCTCGCCCAGGCCTACTGGCCCAGTGCCTGCACCCCCTCCAGGCTCCCATGGGAATGCAGGCCCACTGCGGGTGCTCCTGGCTGGACACTGCTGGTGCTGCCTCTGTGGGCCTCTCCGAGGTCCTCACACACCTGCTCCACCCAGGCTCTTGCCCTTTGTAGACTCTGGTTTCTTCCCCTGCGTTGGGAGGGTTGGGCCACCCGCAGGCTGCCGCCCTGAGAGCAGGGCCATCCCCGGCCTGATAGGGCTGGGAGGCTGGGCAGGGGGGCGACAGGCCTGTTCTGAGGCCCTGGACTTGCCTGCAGCGAGGGCGGACTGGAGTCCTCGGGCTCTCTGCCCTAAGCATGCCGCCCCTGCCACCAGCTGGTGGTGAATTCTCACAGTCTCTCTCCTGCCCAGCCAGAGCCAGAGTGAGCTGCTCAGGGCATTGGTTGCAGCCCTGCCAGATGTACAAGGCAAAGGTGACCTGGGCTGGGACAGGACAAGGTCACATGGTGGGTCAGTGGAGCACCCAGGTGGGGACAGATCCCGTCTGCATCTAACCTCTGGGGCTGCCTCTGCCCCATGTCTGTGTCTTCCTTAATTTCCCTTTTTCTGACTCTGTCTCACTCTCTCACTGTGTCTGTCCCTCTGCCTATCTCTCCGTCTCTCTCTGTTTCTCTAAGGTCTTTTTTTCCCCCAAACTCCACCTTGTTCAGAGTCAGGGGCCCTGGCTGCGCCGAGCTCTGAACCTTTGCAGCAGCTTCACATGGCCACTTCCGCCTGCCTTTCATCTCCCTGCAAGTGCCCTCCCCTCCCCACCCCCATCTCTCTACCTGGGGTCCCTGCCTCACAGGCCCCCCGCACTCTCCAGTTTGGGACCCAGGCCCCTCCCCTCCACTGGCCTCTAGGAGTCCTTCCAGCCACCCAGCCCAGGGGCCCTGAGGCCTGCCTGGGTCCAACTCCTGTGTGTCCCCAGCATCCAGCATGGGCCTGGCCTGCAGGAGCACCAGCCAGGGGTTGTGGGGGTGAAGTTTGAGCAGCAGACGCTCCCTCATTTATTCATTTACAAAGACAGTATCTCCCCTGTACCCAGCTTGGTGCTAAGGGACTTCCATGTGTGATCTCATTTTCTTTTCAGAAAAAAGCCAAGGACTAGGGGGTATTCTACCCATCTTGTAGATAAGGAAAAGGAGGCTCAAACCAATGGATAACCTCAGATCTTATGTAAATAAGAAGTGACCAAGGTTTCAAATCAGGTCAGATGGCTCCAAAGACCAGATGCTTCTTTTTGACACTGTCCCTGGCCTAGGCTTGTTGTTTGGTCCTACATCACTCAAAATGCAGCCACTTTAACTCTTTGACTGATGAAACTAAGGCTCAGAGGGCAGTCAAGGGACCTGCCCATGCTAAGGGCAGCACTCGCGTTCATGTGCTGCCTGGCAGTATGGCGCATGCTCCCAGGATCTTCTCCGTGGCCCAAGTGTTGGCCAGGGGCACATAGCAGTAGCCCCTGAGCCAGGACTCAAGTCTTCCTACTTTACTGCTCCTTCACCTGCAGGGGCCTCAGCTGCTGAGTAAGGCTTCCCTGCATGGGGCCTGCTTCCTGGGCCAGGCCCAGAGAGAATCTAAGCTGCATGTAGACCCTACACACCACGCTGCCACCTGCCCCTGCGCCGTTGCCCAGGCCATTCCCTCTGTCAGAACACTGTGCCCCTTACCTCTGGCCAAAATGGATTTGAAGTCAGAGCCCAGTTCAGACATGACTCTTCCAAAGAGGGGTCTGCTGCATTACATAACATCTCTGTGCCTCAGTTTCCTCATTTGTTATATGATCTCACAACACGGGCTCCTCTGAGAGTTACATGGGATGTACAGCAATGTGCTGAGCTCAAGGCCTGCTCAGGGTGTTCACTTTGTCAGTGAAAGTTGTTGTTCATAAGCATACCTGATCACATAAGGGTGAAAAAAAATACCTGCTTTGTTTCCCTCCAGGAGCGGCAGGTGAGGAGGAGCTGCAGGTGATTCAGCCTGACAGGTCAGTGTCAGTCGCAGCCGGACAGACGGCCACTTTGAACTGCACCCTGACCTCCATGCTCCCTGTGGGGACCATCAAGTGGTTCAGGGGGTCTGGACCAGGCCGCCAGTTAATCTACAGTTTCAAGGGCGGAGAAAGCTCCTTCCCCCGAGTAACAAAAGCTTCAGATGCTACAAAGAGGAACAACACGGACTTCTCCATCCGCATCAGTAACATCACCCCTGAGGACACCGGTGTCTACTACTGTGTGAAGTTCCAGAAAGGGACCCCTGATGTGGAGATTAAGTCAGGCCCAGGCACTCGGGTCACCGTGAGCGGTGAGTCCAGCGTGGGCCTCCTCTGGGCCCTGGGGTGGAGCAGCATGTCAGTAGGAACGCCCTCCATTCTTTGAGCAACACTGAGGAGCAGCTGGGCACTGGGAGTTCATATTCATGAGCTGATTTCCCGCCTTGCACAGCTCAGGGAGGCTGGGGCCTGGAGAGGCCCTTGTTTGCTAAGGCCCCCTGCTGGTGCACGGAGGGGAGTCTGTCCCCAGTCTGCTGGCTCCACAGCCCCTTGTGTTTTCCAGTCCCGTCCAGCCCTTTGGTCCAGGGCTGAGGGAGCAGAAGCGTCAGTGACTTGCAGGCCTCCCGCTGCCTCCAGGGAGCCCTCCATACACAGGGCCCAGGCTCCTCTTCCCAGAGCACTTACTGAGCTCCTGCTGTGTGCCAGGCCCTGCTCTGGGCGCTGTGGGGCAGCAGTGAGCAGAGCAGGCCAGGCTCTTCCCCGTGAAGCCTCCCTTCTCCTCTCTCCAAGGAGAAGTCCCACCGGGCAGGGAGGGGGACACTGTGTGTTTCTTTATTTCATCTTCACAAATGTCACACTGAGAAGAAATTCCTAAGAGGTACAGACTCCCTGTTTAGGCTGATGCCCTGGGTGGGGGGGATGTCAGAGGTCAGGCATTTGCTGGGGGTCTGTCCAAATCCATCCTGTGATTCAGGGACTGACTCACAGTTACTGAAGGCTCCCAGCAGAGCTGGGTCATCTCAGATGTCCCTCATCCAGGGAGGAGTTTCCCCATGTGGGTGATACAGGAGTTGCCCCATTGAGGCAAGAGATGCTCTTTTAGGGTTTTCTACCAGAGGCAGCACCAACCTGGCCCACTCTCGGCTCTGCAGGCTGAGGGTGAGGAAGGGAGGCATTTCTTGGGGCGAGCTGGGCCCCCTGAGCAGAACTCATGTTCCAGACTCAGGATCGGGGGCCCATATCCCCCCTTATTGCTACAGGGTCACCCGGCCTGGGCGCTGGCAGGTGACTGCTCCCTGTAATTGCTGAAGTCAGGATCAAAGAGAAAGGGGAGGGAGGTGGTGGTGTCGGCCCTGAGGGTGGGGCACTTGCTCAGCTGTGGACATGAGGCTTGGGGGCCCAGGACACCCCCTGGGACGCAGTGGGGTGAGGAGACAGCCCCTCTCTGCTCTCAGCCTCCATTTTCTTACCTGTGAAATGGGGATACCACAGCCTCCTGTTAAGAGAGTTGGGCAGAGTTGGGGTGCTCTGTCTGAATCACCCAGCACAGAGTAGGCGTCCCCAGATCAAGGTGTTACTTCAAGGTCGTGACCCAGTTGCTGGGCCTCAGTTTCCTCACCTGCAGGAAGTGGGCAGTCACACCAGCCTTTGTGGTAACGTATGAGTTGCAGGGCCTGGTGAAGGAGCAGACCCCCTGGGAGCGATGGTGCTCTCACCCAGAGCTGCACCCCTGGGCAGGTCTGATCCCCTCCAGGCCTCGGCTTCCCCATCTGAGAAGTGCTGGTGTTCACAGCTACTTTTCTCGGGGCTGGGTGGAGGGGGACAGAACAGCATGTCTAGAAGCCCTGGAAGTGGTGGTAGTTGGGTGTTTCTGGGCATCAGTGCCCTTGGTTGGGAGCCTGGGCCAAGCCCCACTGCCTGGACTCCCATCCCAGCACTGCCACTTCCGGCTCTGTGACCTCTGACCAGTCTCCACACTGGGCCTCGGGGTCCTCACCTGTCCATAACTGTCCTGACCTCACAGAGCAGCTGCCAGGATGAATGAGAGGAAACATGTGAAGAGCTGGCAGAGGAGCAGGTGCAGGAAATGCAGACGAATGGTAGCTAAGATATGTCGAAGCCAGGTCACTGTTCTCTCCAGGCCTCAAGTATAAAAGGGGTTTGGGGTCGGGGTAGTGCCCTGCTACCTTGGCTGTGCATTAGAATTACCTGGGAAACATTGAAGAGATCCTCAGTCCTGGCTCCACCCTAGAAATTCTGATCGAATAGGTCAGGAGGCTGAATTCCTTATGGAGAGGATGCTAATGCGCAGCCAGGCAGAACCTTGAGCCTGGTGCTTTCTGAGGTTGCACAGGAAAAGTTGTATTTTCTTCCCCCTGGCAAAGGTGACTCCCACATTGCTGGGGCTGTAAGAACAGTTCTCCCGAGAGTAGGTGCTTCTGAAGGGCTTGTGCCCAGTGCCAGCTCACTGGAGCCCAGGAAGGTAACTGAGTGCAGTGGCCAGGACCTTCTCCCCGGGGCACGCCTGGGGCAGTAGCAGCTTCCTGCCCTTCCAGCCCCAAGGAGGAGGGGCCCCGACACTGTCAGATCCCAGCTTCATTCATTCATTCATCCCCATTTTTTAACAAGTGTGTCTAAACAGACTAGAATCCATGCAAATACTTGCTGCTCAGCCCCAGAGCCTCACTGCCTCCACACACCAACTGTCCTGATGAAATCTGTCCTTCCTCCTTTCAAAATACTTCCAGTTTCCTATAAAGAGCTAACATGTGATCTCGTGTGTGTTTTGAAAGTCAGTTTGCCAGATTTGTTCCCAGAGGGCATTATTAAAACAAGACAGAGAGAATCATAATTTGGTGGTTTCTACTGCTTTTTTACTGCTTTTCTGGTTGTTGCTCAGAGGCTGCAGGGGGCAGGGCTCTGGGACTTCTCTTGGTGTTTCCTCCAGGCTTTTGTTTTGCCTTCTTAAAGCCAAAGAGCAATTAAGTAGCTTCAGAACCAGCAAGAACCACATCTTACAACAGTATAGGTGTTATTTATTAATCGCCTACTATATGCCTGCCTCTGTGTTGGACATACACCCTCACTTGTCTTAGAGGTTCATGTTTTTATTCACTTTGTACAGATACACACACAGGTTTGAGGATAAAGAACAGAGGCACTAAAATCAGTCGTGTGCAATGAGAGGCGCTCTGCCCCGTACCTCCTGTGTCCCTGGGCCAGCTCTGTTCCTCCCTGAGCCTCATCCCATAAGTGGAACCACACTCGCCCCCCTGCACAAGGATGGGGACAGGATTAAGAGCACAGGGACGCAGAGAGATCAAGCCAGGGTCAGGAACCCCAGACTTTCTAAAAATGGCCACTGATCACAGCGTCTCTTCCTTCTAGGGGCATCCAGGTTGCTGGTGTTTCCATGATGTGACTTATTCAAGTGACACCTCCTTACTATGTCCTCAAAATGTTTGATGAGTTTTAGAAAGCAAGTTAAATATTTCCAAATGCAATTATTTGTCCTATTGACTGTCTGCCAATGGTTAGAGAAGGTGCTCGGTAATACCTAACAATTTGGAGACACCCTGTGGGACCCTCTGCAGGGTGAAATGCTGTCACTGATGATCACTGACAGTGTTTGCTGTCAGTCTTCTGCTGCTTCATAGGCCTGTGTCTGTGTGCTTGAAATTAATTAACAATTAAGAAATTGACCACCTTTGCTTTCTCACCACTCAGAAATCTTTGTTTTCAACCCCAAAACTGACCCAAGAGAAGAACCCAGGTTCAGAGAAACCTCCCTTCTGTTTCAAAATCTTGTATTGGCACAGATTAGGCCCTGCTGGGACATTTGTGGAAAGAATGAAAACTAAGGAGAAATTCATAAATACCTGAAGGGACACTTCTGGACATAAATTAAGTCTGGGTCAAAGGTAGTTCTATTTCTTTCGGTTTGTGAATCATCTTCTGTTTTATTAAAAGAAAGCATGTTTCAATTGACCGTAAAAGCATCCCCAGGAAGGAGACACAACTGCTGCCTCTTGTCCCCTCGCCAGCCTGGTTCCAGCTTTCTTGGCCGTCCTGCTGATCCACTGCTTCCCCTGCATTTACTTCTCTAAACCCTTACCCGGAAGTTGGTATGGTTTCCAGGGGAGGCCAGTTAGGAACAGTCAGTACAGGGTGAGAACGGTCAGTAACTTTGTTCCTGTGCCCAAATGGGCAGGAAGTCACCTGGCAGAGGAAAGAAGGTGGACGTGAACCAGGGCTGGACCTGCATATGGCTCTGCCCTACTGAGTCCCCCCGGGAATCTTGGTCCTTCTGTGTAAGGTGAGGACGGCGACCCCGCCTCCCAGCACCATGACAAGGATTAGATGATAGGGTGTTTCACACACACTCTTAACAGCGTCACACGCTTATCGTTAGTGGTGATAATCACAGTCATACTATTTGTTTATAAATCTCCTTTTGTAGCCAAACCCTCTCCCCCCGTGGTCTCGGGCCCCACGGAGAGGGCCACGCCTGAGCAGACAGTGAGCTTCACCTGCCAGTCCCACGGCTTCTCCCCCAGAAACATCACCCTGAAATGGTTCAAAAATGGGAACGAGCTGTCGGCCTCCCAGACCAACGTGGACCCAGAGGGAGACAGCGCCTCCTACCGCATCTCCAGCACAGCCGAGGTGGTGCTGGCCCCGGGGGATGTTCGCTCCCAGGTCATCTGTGAGGTGGCCCACGTCACCCTGCAGGGGGGCCCCCCTCTTCGTGGGACCGCCAACTTGTCAGAGACCCTCCGAGGTAGACGCCCCTCACACCCAGAGCGAGCCCACTCTGCGCCCAGGCCTCCCCATGCTCCTCCCCTTGCTTTTAGTTCCAGGTCTTCGGTTACCTGGAGTAGAATGCCTGCCAGTCCTCCCCAATCACCAGGCGCCTGGATGTGCCGGTCATTACTGATTCTTGAATGGCAGCTGCTAGGCGAGCCCCTACCAGTGCCCAGCACTGAGCTGGGTAGTTGCATTTACTTTACCAACAGCAACTCACAATTACTGAGCACCTTCTGGGAGCCAAGCTCTTTGTGGTTGGTGATTTCATTTATTTTGCTACAGTTACGGTGTTCTTACTGCCTGCCAGTGGCTGGGCTTGCGATTTCACTCATTTTTACCCTAAAGGAGCTGCCAGTCTTTGAGCACCTACTGTGTGCCAGGCACTGTGCTTAGTCATTTCATTCATATGCAGAGAGCCCTCAGTGTCTGGGCACCAGCTGCATGCCTAGCACCGTCCTGGGTGATTCCCTGCCCTGTGGGAGCTAAGCTGGGGGAGNGTCACCTGCCAAGTGAAGAACTTCTACCCCTGGCGCCTACAGCTGAGCTGGTTGGAGAACGGAAACGTGTCCCGAACAGAAACGGCCTCAAACCTCACAGAGAACAAGGATGGGACCTTTAACTGGACAAGCTGGCTGCTGGTGAACGTCACTGCCCACAGGGAGGACGTGGTGCTCACCTGCCAGGTGGAGCATGACGGGCAGCCGGCGGTCCGCAGAACCCACACCGTGCACATCTCTGCCCACAAGCAGGACAAGGATACAGGCCAAATCCCGGGTAAGGCCTCCACTCCCACTCTTTTTAAACTTCATCTCTTTTCTTGATGTTGAAAGTAGTAATTCATCCTTATTATAGAATAATCGAGAAGTCTATAAATATAAAGTAGAATTTTGAAGTCAGCTCCCCTCCCCCATATCCCATATGCCAAGGGTCACCACTGTGAGAGTTTGTACATATCTTTGTAGATGTTTTGACATAAATATGGATTTAGGAGAGAAAAAAGGGAGGAGGGAAGGGTGTCATCCTGTCACAGCACCCTGCCTCTTGCTTTCTTCACCTACCAATCACTGCTTCTTCCATCCATGTCACCCCACCACCCTCATTTTCTTTCTTTCTAACCTCTGCCTAGACATCCTGGCTGCCTGTGCCAGCCTGTCCCCTGGGAACAGGGGCTACAGACGGGGGGCTCCAGGATGTTTGCAGCTTATCTTAAGTATAATCACTGCTGAATAAACATCCTTGAATACCTTCTGTTACACATGCAGCTATTTCTGTGGGATGTTTTCCCAAGGAGCTTTTCTTGGCCAAAGTGCATGCCCATGTAAGTTGATGATAACACTGCTATTCTCCTGTTAGAGTAAAAGCTGTCAGGGTATCATTTTTCTCAGCCCCCTCCCAACCTGTTGTCAATGTATTTCTGTTCTAACTTTAGAATGGTAGCAGCTAATTGGCGTTTAGGGATGACCGCAGGATGTCCATCACCTGTCATTAGCATGGCTATGCCTTATATGTAGTGGACCCTTTGGATGGATTACAACAGAGGCCACTTCTTTCCTTCATGCATCCTTCAAGGGAACAGGAAAGTTCTAAAGCCCCGGGGCCCTGTCAGATTGTCCCTTTGATATCACTGGTACCTGGTTCATATAGGATGAGTGCTACTGAGGGAGACAGGATGTGTGGATTTCTACTCTGGTTCTCTCACTTGTTGGTAACCTTGGACAAGTCAATGCCTCTCTCTGGGCCTCTCCACTTGCCCATGGCAGCGTTGAAGAAGAGTTTCGTGACTGCTCACCTTTGAGTCAGGATGCTAGGGACATGGCTGTCTTGTTCAGGATTTTGGCTTCAGGACTTGGCACACAGCTTAGCACATGGGAGATGCTCAAGAAATACTTTAGGAAGGATGAAAGAGTGAGTTATTTGGTTTCTTGGTGAGTTAGTGAGTTAGTTCTCAGCGATATCCAATGAGGTGGAGATCACTGTTGCCCTTGAGAACACAAGAGGAAGCCAGTGTGTGGAGGGAGGTTTGAATGACTTGCTCCCAACTAGGGGCGTTGATTTGAACCCACATCCTGTAGCCCAAAGCCTCCTGACTGCCCGCTCTGCTGTAGTACAATCCCCTCCCTGTGCCCGAGAGCCAGCCCACCCACACTGTCTCCACTTCAAGTGTCCTGGGTTCAGAGCTCCTATGCCCAGGTCTTGGCACAGATCAGTGGACAGCCCCTGAGAGCCCTGCAGAGTCCAGAAGCTCCTCCTCACTGCCCCTGTCCCCCAGCCACTGATGATACCCCAGTTGCAATTCAGAGTTTCAGATGACCCTGCGCCACAATGGTGGCCCCTCTGTGGTTCATTTCAATGAGATGGAACATATTTCTGCCCTCGAGACTGAGATTTCTGCCCATATGCTGCAGCCAGAGTTCCTCTATGGGTGTCAGCAACAAACATTTTCCCTCCTGGCCCCTTGGCATGGATTCTGCACTGCCCATGGGTGACCCACATGGGGAAGTGCATGCAGACTCACTGAAGTGCCCGTGTGGCTCAAAACATCTGAGAAGGACCAGCCAGATGTTCTCAGTTAATGATGTCTGTGTACTGGTGAAAAGGGGTGGTGGGTTTAAGTTTGACTGTTTCTAATTAGTGTACATGAAGCTTCTATTCCGTGTGGTCCCCAGAAAAGTCTAACGGCTGGAATATCTTTATTGTGGTGGGCGTGGTTTGTGCCTTGCTGGTGGCCCTGCTGATTGCAGCCCTCTACCTCCTCCGAATTCGACAGAAGAAAGGTAGGTGGAGTCCCCTCTCCCTCTGCAGGGTTTTCCCCTGGGCTGTCCTCCCCAGACAGAGAGACCGCAAGAGTGCTTTGGGCTAACACACAGCCTAGGCTGCAAGGATGTCCAGTTATTTGCAGTAACAAGAAGTCCAGAGGTAGCTGTGCCATGGCTGGTCAGCACCTTCACCGGGCTGGAATCTGGGTGGCCCCCTGCCCTCTGTGGCTGCAGCATGGCCACTGTGGCTCCAGGCCTCACATCCTCACAGGACCCCTACTGAGGTGGGAGGCAGGGAGATACCAGGGTGGCCAGAGGCTCTCGGAAGAAACATTATGTCCCAGGAGCCCCCTGGCAAACTTCTGCTTTCCTCTTGCCTGTCCAGGTTACATGCCCAGCCCCTAGGCAGGTGGCTGGCCAGAGTGAGGATAACACCACCACTGGCCTCCGAGACTACTGGGAGGATTCCATGGTGGCCACATGTAACTCTTAGGAAAGTGCCGGGCACACAGCAAGTGCCCAATAAATGTGAGCTCCTGCCATTAGTATTGTGTGTAGGCCCAGAAACATGAGCCGCCTCCCTGGCACTTTCTCCCCATGTGGCGGTGGCCTTTGAGTCCACAGCAGGAGGGTACAAGGTCAAATCCAGGATGTTGTGCCCTTGATTGTGTGTATGTGTGTGCACATGTGTGGTAGTCATTGCTGTGGCAGGCCTCTGACTTGAGAGTCAGACAGACTGGAGTCCCAGACCCTTCTTATGTACTCTGACCAGTCAGTTTGGCTTCCACAAGCCTCGGTTTCCTCATCTGCCAAATGGGTATGGCAACTGCCTATGTTGCAGGACAGTTTGGAAACACAAATCAGTTCATGTGAGATAACAGCTCTGATACATTTGCAGACTTCAAAAAGTACATGTTCTCTTTTCCACTCTTGGAAGAGACCATTTAAAGGCAGTGCTGCTAAAACTTAAACTACAAGTGATACATTTCTTGTCTCAACCTAACGCACCCACACCCCATAGATAAAATTGGAACTCTGATATTTTCTTTTTTGTCATATTCTGCACTAAATTCTCTTTTAAATGCTAGTTGTGACCTACCATGTGCCACCGCCTGCAAAATACAAAGTTCTGTCCTGAGCTCTTCTGTGCCCAGACCCCCAAGCTGAGCTCAGAGGAGCATGTTGTGCCCTTCTGCCCACCCACCCTGACACCCCCCCAGGTTTCCTTCCCTCCTGGACCTGCTGGAAGGACCAGCTGTGCATGCTGGCTGAGCCTCAGGCTCTCCGCTCAGAAGGGGACAGTCAGGCCCCTGCTTCTCTGGAATCCAAAAGAGGTTCCTCCAGGTGATCCACCCAGGGTTTCCCTAAAGTCCCTGGAAAACCTTCGCACAGGAAAGACTCCTCCTCTGAAGGTCCCAAACCTATTTTACAGATGAAGAAACTGAGGCATGGGAAAGCTATAAAACTTTCTCACAACTGGTGAGTGGTAGGGCCCGGATTCAAACCTGGGCAGTGAGTCTCCAGAGACCACTTTTGGGACCACTCTGCACATATATCCACCCTAATGAGACACCCCCACCTCCCCCATTAGCCCCGGAGGGGTCTGCCCATCCTTCACCTCAATACTCACAATAAAATGTCCTCTTTTCAACTCTACCCCTTACCAGCTGGGTGTCTCTATGGTTGCCTGTTGTCTTTGGTATAAGAGGAGGGTGGTCAATGTCCCATCACTGGACTCCCTCAGACAACTCAAATCCCAGCACTTTGCCTTCATTCAGACATTAGATGCAGGACTGCAGCCTTCCCAACTGGCACCCACTTACCTAAAGATCCAGTACCTGCCCAGGCACCAAGCATTAACCTGGCAGTGAGAATTCTTGCACTGTGGCAGCCTCCAGTCTGTTCAGATGTGGGCAGAACACATCTGAGTGTGCATGTTGCTTTTTAATTACACTTTAGAGTGAAATAGGAGTCAAATGGTGGCTGAATTCAGGCGGCTTCTCTGTGGGATGCCCATATCGCAGGTTTAAAAATCTATAAACCAGATGGACCCTTTCTTTCCTCCCAAGATCCTTTTTTGGAAAGTGCTGACATGAAAAGAGATGGATGTCCAACCCTGTGAGCTGGAAGCTGAAATCCGAGCTCAGGGAGGGAAAATGACTCACCCAGGGTCACATAATGAGTGAGTTGGTGGCAGAAGTGGGATTCACACCTGCTCCCCCAAACTCACAGCCCTGCTAGAATCAGTTCTACAGCAGTGAAGGGCCCTGACTGGGACCAGGCCGGTTGTAGTGTCTCAGGTAAGGTGTGTGGTACCTGGAAGTGAGGCACAGACATAGGCAGGGCAGTTGGCCCCTCCTAGGCTGAAGGCTGCTTTGGGATCTGACCTTTGGCAGCTCCCAGAGGTGAGAAAGTGGAAGACTCAGCTCACCAGTCTTCCTTGTTGGAAGATAATGGCCCACAGCAGGGTGAGCATGGAGGTTTCCTGTGGGTTGAAGGATATGATTTTACAATTCCTTCCATTGTCCCTGGAGTCAAACGTTTGATTACCCCCCACAAAAGAAAGTTACATAAGAGAAGTATGTTTCTAGGTGAAGTAACTGGCTTTGTTTCTTTTGTCTTTCAGCCAAGGGCTCCACTTCTTCTACAAGGTAAGTCTGTGTCAGCTCTGGGCCAGAATGCTTTGGCAATTGTCATTTGGTTGTTTGACAGCCCCCAAAAGCTGCAAAGCAGAATCCATGCCCACTGGCTATCTCTCCTGTTTCTTTCCTTTGTAAGCTTCTCAAGCCAGGTCCGTTTTTAATTATCATCACAAATAAGGGGATTTGAGGGGATTTCAGTGCACAGAAGCTCTGATATCTTACCTGCTGTCCACAGACAGCAAGACCCTTATCAAACCCTACTTGGACTGTGACAGAAGCCTCCTGCACATGCTGCCCCTGATCCAAGTCATATACTTCGCTCTTCATTCATTATATGTTTATTGAGTACCTAGGCATGAGTGGCCCTGGGAACACTGGGGTGAGCAGGATAGAAAGCATCTGTGCCCTCCTGAAGTCCGTGGCCTAGTCAGAGGCTAAGGTGATGACTTTACATCCCTGACGGTACATTAGTTTGTTGATTCATGTTTTCAGTGATTTTTGCTGAGTTCCTACTATGCACCAGCTCTTTTCTGGGTGCTAAGGATACAGAAGTGAACACAAATCAGTCCAGGCCTTCATGGGCTCAGTTGTTGGTGAAAGAACCTGGTAGTAAGCATGGAAGCAAGGATGTGTAATGTCATGTCAGGTGGTGACAAATCAAATACAGCAAGGGGATAGAGGTTAATGGCAGGGATGTCTCAGGCAGGGGAAGGGGTTGGCTCTTAAAAGGGGGTATAAGCAGGGACCTGAGCTAGGGAGCTGTGAAGAAGACGTGCCTACTGGGTGAGAGAGTAGGTATGACCAAGGCCTGAGGTGGGATGTATGGGGGTGCAGAGGGACTAGGAGGATGGGGGAGGCTGGGGCAGAAGAAGCATGGTGAAGGGCAGGTACTTAGGACGGGAGGATGCAGGTCTCTTAGTTGAAGCCCATACAGCCATGTTGGTTCAAGTCAGGTTTTGCCACCAAAAAGGTTTTGCAAATCATTTTATTTCTTTACAACTTCGTGGATTTCAAAACTGTAGAGCAGGAACTAAGGATTTGTAAGAGAGGCCATTAGTCCAGGGCCTATGGCCCTTGGAAGGACTCAGGGTTTTTCTCCCAATGACGCAAGGAGCCACAGGAGGGGGACCGGGCCGTAGGAGGTCGGGGTGGAGTCAGAGAGGCTAGAGAGGAGGCTGCTGCAGTGGTCCAATCAGGTGACAGGGGCCTGGGCCAGGATGGTAGGGTGGGCTGAGAAATGGTCAGATTCTGGATATATTTTGGAAGTAGAGCCAAGAAGACTTGCTGATGGATTGGAGAGTCAAGGACAATCCAAAGACTGGGGGTGGGAGAGGGGAGGAGGCTGTGTGTGTGTGTGTACATCAAGTATGTGCCTCCCAAGGGCAAGACTTGGCTTCTATCATCTGCCTCAAAACCTGTAGTGGTTCCCCATGGCCGTCAACATAGTCCAGATGCCCTACGGAGGCCCTCGTAGTCCTGTCCCTGCTGGCTCAGACAGGGTCACTTCTGGCCACACCCCAGAGTGTGCTGGGACAGCCACGTGCCCCGCCTGTGCTTCCTTCCACACCCTGCGTCCTTGCTCTCCCCTCGCCCTGGCGTGCTCCCTCTCTCCCTGAGATGTGCTGCCCCACCCCTGCTCACACACCACCCAGGTGTGACAGTGCTCCCAAAGCTGTGGGACATGGGAGCTAGAGTGGGTACTCCCCCTCCCACCTGGTCCCTCCTGCTCCTCCTCCTGGGCTCAGTGAGAGCATGGCCCCCCCAGAGACAGGGCCCCTCCGAGGAGCTCTCCTGGTGCTCCTCCACTGACACCACAGTGTGTTCAAGCTGTCTCTGCCCTTGTCCCTGTATAGTAATCCAAGCCTCTTGAGGGACCATTGCCCTCATTTCCCTGCTAATAGCCACTGAACTTGGCACCATGCCTAGAGTGAAATAGGTGCTCAGTAAAGGTTTGTCAAATGAATGAATGAACACCATCACAAACCACTGCAGCAATCCCCAATTTTCCTTCTTTGTACCCCTGCAGTGCTCTTTTCTTGGTGGCTTCACAGACTCAAATATAGAAAGATCTTTTTTTTTTTTTGGTATCATTAATATACAATCACATGAGCAACACTGTGGTTACTAGTTTCCCCCCATTATCCAGTCCCCCCAACATACCCCATCACAGTCACTGTCCATCAGCCTAGTAAGATGCTACAGAGTCACTATTTGTCTTCTCTGTGTTATACTACCTTCCCCGTGCTCCCCTCTACATTATGTGTGCTAATCGTAATGCCCCTTATTTCCCTTATCCCTCCCTTCCCACCCATCCTCCCCAGTCCCTTTCCTTTTGGAAACTGTTAGTCTATTCTTGGGTTCTGTGAGTCTGCTGCTGTTTTGTTTCTTCAGTTTTTGCTTTGTTCTTATACTCCACAGATGAGTGAAATCATTTAGTATTTGTCTTTCTCCGCCTGGCTTATTTCACTGAGCATAATACCCTCTAGCTCCATCCATGTTGTAGCAAATGGTAGGATCTGTTTCTTTCTTATGGCTGAGTAATATTCCATTGTGTATATGCACCACCTCTTCTTTATCCATTCATCTACTGATGGACACTTAGGTTGCTTCCATTTCTTGGCTATTGTAAATAGTGCTGCGATAAACATAGGGGTGCATATGTCTTTTTGAAACTGGGCTCCTGCATTCTTAGGGTAAATTCCTAGGAGTGAAATTCCTGGGTCAAATGGTATTCCTATTTTGAGTTTTTTGAGGAACCTCCATACTGCTTTTCACAGTGGTTGAACTAATTTACATTCCCACCAGCAGTGTAGGAGGGTTGCCCTTTCTCCACATCCTGGTCAGCATTTGTTGTTCCTAGTCGTTTCTATATTGGCCATCTTAACTGGTGTGAGGTGATATCTCATTGTGGTTTTAATTTGCATTTCCCTGATAATTAGCGATGTGGAACATCTTTTCATATGCCTGTTGGCCATCTGAATATCTTCTTCAGAAAAGTGTCTGTTCATATCCTCCACCCATTTTTTAATAGGGTTATTTGCTTTTTGGGTTTTGAGGTGCGTGAGTTCAGAAAGATCTTTTTGTTTCATTTTCTATTTTCATTGTTTTTTACCTGTCTTATCTCCCCATTTAGACAATACATTCCTGAAAGAAAAGGGCAGTGTCAATAATGATATTAACAACCGCATCAACAACTAACATTTATTGAAAACTTACTGTGTCCCAGCAACCAATCTATGCCTTTCCTTGAATTAGCCCATTGGTAATTTTAATTATAGCAAAAACCCTCTGATTTACTATTACCCAATTTAATTGAACGAAGGTTCTCTAACTTGAGTGTGTAGCAGAATCTGCTAGAGAACTTGTTAAAACACGATTCCTGGGCCCACCCTCAGGGCTTTGGATGCACAATTTATATTTCTAACAAGTTCTCAGGTGGTGCTGATAAGGCTGTTTCTGAGCCAGACTTTGAAAACCCCTGTTCTAGAAGGTTATTGTGGTCCCTGCATATGGTTGAGGAAACTGAGGCTCAGAGAAGTTGTGCGACATTCCTGAGGTCCCACGGCCAGTAAGTACTGAAACTACGACTCCTACCCAGTGTCTCTGACCCAGAAGCCCATGCTCTTTATCACTGCTCTGACACCTCTTGCTGCCTATTTTTTCTTCCCCAGAGAAGCTAACCATTTTCAGCCTGTTTTTTGTATTTTTCCAGCGTGAGCCTAGCCTACCAAGGGAGCTGTGAGATTGCTTGCTCCCTTTCATCTCTCTAAACCAAAGCAGTAGCTTTGCACGGTAACGGTGCTTTCCCACGCGGCACAGGCTTCCATTGGCTGGCTGCTATCAGATGCTTTCCAGAGCATTGGCATGGGTACCAACCAAGTGCCTCCTGAGGAGGGGCCTGAGGGGAATGCCGCTGCTTTGAGCTCAAAAGGCCCTTCAGGTTTCAGGGCTGGCAGAGAGACTGGCTATTTCTAACTCCCTGTGTTAGGAATGTACAGGCAGAACATTGTCTATAATCTTTCCCAGCTCAGATGAGAGAAAAATATGTCTCTGCTCCTTAATTGGGCACTGGGGTTCATTCTGTCAGCCACTTGTTCACTCGTCAGACATTTGCTGCATTTATTCTTGGAATATTTAGGGCTTCCCTGATTCTTTCATTTATTCATCTTGATTGAGCCCAGCTCAGTGCCAGGCCTTAAGCTAGGAAATTGCAAATGAAAGTAAAAAAGATGCTAGCACCTGGTCCCTTGGCACCTTTGATCTGATGGGAGAGCAGTTCATTCATACATTCAACAAATACTTACAGCGTGCTAATAATGTGCCAGCCCATTATCGGGTGTCGTGGCTGCAGCGATGAGCAGAGCAGGCTTACCACTTGCCCACATGGGCTCCCGGTCCATCAGGAGACAGGTTCCCAAACAAACTGGGAGGTGAATACACAGGACAGGAGTGCTGACTAAATGAAATATAGCCAGGCATGGAGCAGAGCAGGCGGTGAGGTGCGGTGAGCAATCTGGGAAGGCTTGTCTAAGGAGGTGACATTGAGAAAATAGCCGAGAGACAGAAGACTCCAGCATGAGAATGTCTAGGGCAAAAGTAGACCAGGTAGAGGGAACAGTCAGTGCCAAGATCCTGAGGCAGATGCAGGTGGACATGTTCGAGGGACATGGAGGAAGGCAGGGCAGCTGGAGTGGAGAGAGTGAGGGGAGGGTTGGGGGGAGACCTGGGCTCTGGGTGGGGACAGGTCATGCAGGCCTCGCCAGTCAGGATGTGATTTCACTGTGTGGTGGGAAGGAGTTGAGAGTTTGGAGCCAAAAAATTATGTGACATCACTTATGAATGTGCATGTGGAGAATGGCATGCAGAAGGGTCAGAATAGAAGCAGAGACTCCACAGAGGAGACCCTCAGGAGTCTAAAAGCCAGGATGGTGGAGGTGATAGAGTGGATGGGGTTGATATTTATTTTGAGGGCAGAGTCAACAAGCCTTGTATAGATTGTAGAGGGGGCAGAGGAATCAGGAATGATTCCCACTTCTTTAGCCTAAGCACAGGAATGAGTAAGAGTGGTGACATTCACAGAGATAGGAGAGACAAGAGGAGACACAGACAAAAAAATGGGTAACTGCTTCCCATCTGAAATACTGCTCTAAAAGAGAGAAACCCAGTGTTCTGAGAATGGAGTTTGGGGTTCAGAAAGGTTTCCCCAAGAAAGGAGAACTTGAAACAGGATGTGAGGGAAGAGGAGTAAAGCAATGAAGAGGCAAAGAGAGATGAATGTGCAAAGGCCCTGGGGCAGTTTGACTGGTGTTCATTACAGGTCAGTTTTGAGTACCTGTACCCATGGGGTGAGAAAGCCTGGGAGGCAGACAGACAGACACATGAGCCAGAGAGGAAAACATGCCAAGAGGCTTGACATTTTCCTGGAGGAGCAGCCCAGCCATCCCAGCACTGTCAGGAAGCCTTCCCAAGGAGGTGACACCATAGTTGAGTCTTAAAGGATCCACAAAAGTTAACAGAGAGAAAAAGTGATCAAGAGGGTCGTTCAAGGCTGCTGTTGACACGTAAAGTGTGTTGCGTGGAACAGTGCTTGTGAAATATTTGGTGGGTGGATAAGTGGGAGGATGAGGGTGGGGATGAATGAGCCTGGGGGCGTCAGCAGAGACCAGACCATACAGGGCTTACAAGCAGGGTGATGAGTAGTACTTGAACTAGAGGCAGTTGGGAGCCCTGGAAGGGTTGGAAGCAGTAGGGGTGTGGAGAGAGCTGCATGATCTTCCTCACCAGACGATGTCCCTGCTCCTGGAGGGCTGTTTCTGTGGCCACGTGGGGCTCGTCATGCCCCAGAACTGCTTTCTGTGCCAAGATCTCATGCCAAATCCATTAATAACCCTACTGCCAAGCCCAATTGCTCATTTCTGACATTATCCGGGCTAACATCCCCAGAGCTGCAGGCTGGAGAATATACACAACTCCTGCAGAACCACTGGCTCTGGTTCGTGACCGAGACCCTGCAGAGGGCCAGGCCACGGCCTCCAGCTACAGAACCAACTGCATGAGTGGCTTCCTTGATTAGCCAGGACACGAGCAACTTCTCTTTTCTGTGATAAAATAGAGATATGTAGAATATACAGCACTTGGAAAATGTGGAAAACTAGAAAGAAAAAACATCACCCAAAGACCACTGCTGTTGGCATTTTACTATATTCTTTCTTGTGTTATCCACACATATTTCCTAATTGAGATCATTCCACAGAGAATGTTTCCTTTTCACTTATCATTTTAATGTAATCATTTGTAATAAAAAGAAATCTCCTCATAAACCTTACAAATCTTTATCTACAAATCTATTTCTGTAATTTCCTTAACCAGTCCCAACTGGCAGAGCTGTAAGATGTAAACCTCCCACCCCATCTTGTTCCATGACAAATACCTTTGTGCAAAAAGCTTTTTATGTATTTTTAATTTCCCCCCCCAAAAGAAAGTGCAATTATGAGTCAAAAGATGAGGACACCTTCCAAGCTCTTGATTTGCCAAAATGCTTCCCGATAGGGCTGTACAGGTTTGTGCCTCCCACCAGCAGTGTATGTATGAATGTTCTGGTTCCACCATACCCCTCCCAGCACTGAGTGTTGTAATTTTAAACCAGTAAAGTAAGTTAAGAAAAAAACAACCAGTAGTATACATTGCTTAAAATTCCTTTTTAGTGAGATTGACCCTTTTGTCCAAATAACTGACAGGTAGATGGATTTCTGTTGTGAATTGCTCATCCATGTCCTCCACCCTTATAGGAAATGGAACCTAAATGTTATTCTTATCAATTTGCATGACTACTTGAGATAGTGAGGATATTTTTATCTGTGTGTCTGTTTCCTTTTTAGGTTGCATGAGCCCGAGAAGAGTGCCAGAGAAATAACCCAGGTACAGTCCTTGGTGAAATGCCCTTCCTGGGAAACTCGAGGGTGTGACTTCCTTGCACCCACTCGAGTTGCAGATCCTGTTCTAAACTAAGCCTCCTTCCCCAGGGTGGGAGGGTGGAGTGGTGGTGGGAAATCCTTACATTCCTAACTTCCCCCCTGGTTTCTGCACATTCCCTCCTCCTCCTCAGGCCAGGAGAGTCTGTCCCAGCCTCCCTGACTCAGTGCTGCGCATTGCATGACTCCAGAGGCATTCGCAGGTGGTGCCCCTGGAGTCAGGCTGCAGCCTCCCTTAGGGGGGACTATACCGTCCTGCCTTCGTGCTTTTGCCCAGGCGAGTCCCTCCACCAGGGATCCCCTCCCCAGCTCGCTCCTGCCCCCTCCTTGCAGCCCCTGTGCCTCTCACACAGGGTCGCACAAGGCTGCCAAAGTCTCTCTTGCCTTTGCTGATGGGAAGAACCTGTGTCATTAATTAACTCATTCAAGGGTATACACCCTAGAGCTGGCCATTTCCCAGGTGACATGGCTGGCCCATTTCCGGGAAACCTGGCCCTGCTCCTCACAGCTGACACTATCAGACCTGGGAGGCAGAGGGCTCCTCTGCATCTTGGAACCAGACAGGCCCTGCTCTGAACTCGGGACTGGGAGCACCAGCCATCCTTGACATTTCCCTGGTGGCTGTCATCAGTTCAGACGTAATCTGCTGAAGAGCCAGGCGGGTAAAAGGCACGATTTTTGTAGGCTGAAACACTGTGGCCTGCTCTCCTGACCCACGACAGCCTGTAGCGGCCCTGGGTGCCAGCTCCAGGGGTAATTAGAAAATAAAACAATTTCTAGTCATGGAAGGGGAACCTTCTCCCCAGTGACTTTACCTCTGGACTTCGTTCTGGAACTTTCAGGGGAAAGGTTGATGGTGAGAAGAACTGGCCACTGAAACCTGCACAAAATTCACAGTCAGCCAAGACCAACTGAGCACCTACTGTATGCCAGGCCCTGGGCGGTGAACAAGGCTGTCACATCCAGCTTGCAGCCTCATGTCTGGGATTCCCGTGCCAGGCACCAGCCCTTGCCAGGGAGGGAATTCAGTTCTGTCGGGGTGGGCTTCCCAGAGAGAATGGGTGAGCCTGCAGGGTTCAGGGCAGGAGTTGTGTGATAAGACCACAGATGTAGAGCCCAACAGGCTTGGTTCTTTTCCACCTGTGTGTCTTTGACCAAATTATCGAACTTCCTTGGGTCTCAGTTTCTTCACCGGAAAAATGAGGTAAATAATCCCTACCAAGCAGGGTTGTGATAGGGCCTGAATAAGGTGATCCACGTGACAGTGTAGTGCTTATAAGCCACTGGGAACTGAGATCTGTGGTTATTATTGTGGGCCAAGTAGGAGTTATGATTGTCGGTAGCTCCCCTCCACTTCTATACCACAGCTGCTGGACGCCAACGGCACAAATCTTAAAATTCATGATGGGTCATTGTAAGGTGGCAGTTGTGGGTGATAAGATTAGCACAGGAGAGAGGTTCAGGGTTGCTAGGTGGTTGATTGCTAACATTTAGTGAGCATATGTGCTCCCTCAGTGTGTGCCCAGCTCCCATCTTAGAGCTTTACCTGGATGATGGCGTCTGGTCTCCCTGGTGATAGATTATTAACCCCACTTTACATCTGGGAAAATCAAGGCCCAGCTTGATTCAGTGAATTGCCCAAAATCCCTCAGCTAGAGAGAGCAGAACCAGGATTCAAACTCCTCCTGAGTGCAGAACATTTACCACCCTGCTAACTGGTGTCTCATTCTTGCATGCTCTATTTTCTGTCTGTCAGTCCCTAGCTTCACCCTGAGGAGGCTGAAATTGTTGTAACTCACCCGTCCGCTCATGTGTTCATTCATTCATTCATTCGACACCAGTTGGGCTGCTTCTGTGCCAGCCTTGGTTTTTGTGTCACAACAAATGCCTAGTGAGCATTTGCCGAGTAAACAAGTAATTAAATGAGTGCCCCCACCCCTTGGGGGATCAGCGTCTACTCAGAACCCCCAGACAGACAATCCTAGGTGGTGGGTGCTGTGATGGAGAAGTAGGGGCCGAGCAAGCACTGAGAAGGAGTCCCAGACACAGCTGAGGGGAGGGTGTGTGGATGAAGCGGTGCTTGTACTGAACTTTACAGGGTGGATTGGGTTTCCTTCTGAGGAGAAGGAGGGAGGTAGACAATAGGCAGAAAGAAGAGCATTGAAAAGGCAGGACAACTGCAGGAGGAGGTGACATTGAGGCAGCGCCGTGAGGTAAACGCAGTGGCGTTTAGGAAGTTCCTTGAGGCTAGGGGAGGAGGGGGGCGTATTGGAAGGGCAAGGCTGGAGGCAGGTAACCTTGGCCAGAGAAGAGTGGGCATGACTTAGGGCTGAGCCAGTGGGGGCCAAGAGGAAACAGAAGCATCCAGACTTGGTACCAATGCTGGGTAAGTGGCTGGAGACTCCAGAATGACACTCTATCCATCTCATTTAGATCCAGGACAACAACGACATCACATATGCAGACCTGAACCTGCCGAAGGGGAAGAAATCCACCCCGCAGGCGGCCGAGCCCAACAACCACACAGAGTATGCCAGCATTCAGGCCGGCCCTCCGCCCGTGTCCGAGGACACCCTCACCTATGCCGACCTGGACATGGTCCACCTCAACCGGGCCCCCAAGCAGTCAGCCCCTAAACCCGAGCCATCCTACTCAGAGTATGCCAGTGTCCAGGTCCAGAGGAAGTGAATGGGACTGTGGTCATTTCTAGGGTCTGTCCCCATGAGCCTTACTGTCCCAGCTGTGGACAGAGGGCAGCTGTGATGAGGACAGCCAGCCCAGTTCCCAGAAGGCTAGGGTGGTGCAGGCCTGGAACCCAAGGATGAGCTGGCTCTTGTCTCCCTTACCCACTTGGCTCTCGAGCATTTCCAGGGCGGCCACAGCACCTCCACGTTGCCATACACGGAGGCTGATGTTGCCAGAGCAGCCAGAGAACCGAACTGGGAACTGCCTGGAGTCCCCAGGGCCACAAGAACCCTCATGCCTCCATCAGCCATGGGCCTTGGTCATACTCCTGGAGACCCTGACTGCCTCTCTGATGCTCTGCAGCCTGATCTTCCAGGGTGAGGAGGGAGAAGACCCCACCTCCTCCCACCACCACCACCACCACCATTACCACTACCACCACCAAGCTGGGGCTTTGGGAAAAGTTTACCCATTGAATCGAACTGCTCCATCCATGGAGAAGCTGGAAGAAAACCTCTGGGACCCAAATCCCAAGACTCGTTGAGATTGCTGCTGACAGTCCTGGCCTCCCCATCTCTGGACTGATGAGCAGCAAGCCCTAGGAGAGGAGAGGACCCTCTGAGGAATCCCACCACTACCACTACCAAGAACCAAGTAACAAAACTTTCCTCTTCCTGGTGGCCCTCCAGGACCCCTTGAGGGCCCATCATCCTGACCGTGACACTCCACATGGCCCCACGTCTCCGTTCCAGACCTGAGCTTGCTTCCTCCAGCTAGCACTAACTCAGCAACATCTCGCTGTGGACGCCTGTAAATTATTGAGAAATGTGAAACGTGCAATCTTGAAACTGAGGTGTTAGAAAATTTGATCTGTGGTGTTTTGTTTTATTTTTTTCTTAAAACAGCAACGTTATCTTGGCTCTCTGTCATGTGTTGAAATACATGGTTGGGTCTTGTGCAGTCTGAGGTTTGACGGTGGGTTGTCCTGGAGGTGTTTTCTTATAGCAGAAACTGAGTTCCTCCATGTCCCAGAGCCCTGAGGATGGGGAAGAAGGTTCCAGCTGGGCTCCTCCATGTATGCTCAGCCTTCTTTCCAGGACTAAATTGGTCACGTTCTCAGCTGAGCCACGCGGCTGGTACTACTGCCTTCCATGTCAGCAATGTGGTAAGTCGAGCCTGCCCAGGGCTGTTCTGGGCTGCCTCCTTCACTGTGCAGGCTTGCTGAGACCTAAGCCTCACTCTTCTTATCCAGAAAGAGGGCAGAGGAAAGATGCTGTCACTCCCCACCACCTGCACTAGTGTGGACCGGACAGCCTTGCAGGGTAGAAAAGCTGTGCCTGAGTGTTGCCCCCACCACGTTAGCAGCCTTCTCCCATTCCAGCTCTCTGAGCCAGTCCCTGAAGGAGAAATCTTCCATCTCTGCTCTCAAATCCCACTGGGATCAAACTGGAATAAACCCAAGACAGCCAAGAGGACAGGGCAGCTGTGAAGCCAGAACTGACCCACCTTCTGTCCCTCTGTCTCAGGAGGTTGGGTAGAGGCTATGACCCATGACCCTCTGAACCCCCATCCTTCCAATTCAGGGTGGGGGCCTGTCCAGGCCCAGACAAGCAAATACTGCAAGCCCTGTTTACTCAGTCTTCACGTATAACTGAGCAACTTTTGTGGCTGAGACACCAATCCTCATGGGTCCAGTCATTCGATGCCCAAGGGATTCCTGGCTCAGGCCAGCAGATTGAGAAGCAGAGCCATCCTGCCATGAGCAGGTGCTATGAGTGTAATTCCAGAAGCTCAGCACATACCCAGCTCCCTGGGGGGATAGTGCTTTGGTGTGTTACATGATGGCATTCGGGAATTAGCTGAGCCAACAGGTCATGTGGGCTGCTTTGGCCCAAAGAGCCAGAGTTTCTCTGTGGCATCTGGGAGCACAGTGGCCCGACCATCTGGCTCGGGCTATTTCCAAATTCCAAAAGGTTGGCTTGTGAACCTTAGTCACACTCTCTTCTGCCCAGAGAGAGCACATGTACTTGACACACATACGCACATACACACACACACACACACACACACAGGCACACAGAACTTCAAAAGAATGTTTTCTTGGTGCCATTTTAATTTAATTTTATTTTGAATTTTGGAAGGGGAGTAAAGGAATGAGGCCAAGGAAGTCATGTAGCTTTAGCTCCAGCCTGGCAGCCTGGAGACTCCTACACCTTGTGTATCGAACCCCAGGAAAAGGAAGAGGTCGAAACAACACTGTGGAAGGAGCATGGTTTCAGGAGTTTATTTTAAGACTGCTAGGAAGGAAACAGGCCCCATTTTGTATATAGTTGCAACTTAAACTTTTTGGCTTGCAAAATATTTTTGTAATAAAGATTTCTGGGTAACAATGACCCTTTGGGTGTTGAGTGTCTATGTCTCCATGAGTGTGTCCCCCTGTTCCCAGGAATACGGGGCCTCTGTTGCACATGGCCCCAGGGCTTGGAAATAAGCACAGTATTGGGTCTTCTTTATTTATTTACTTACTTATTGGTATCATTAATGTACAGTTACATGAGCAACATTGTGGTTACTAGACTCCCCCCATTATCAAGTCACCCCCACATACCCCATCACAGTCACTGTCCATCAGTGTAGAAAGATGCCATAGAATCACTACTTGTCTTCTCTGAGCTATACTGCCTTCCCTGTACTCCCCCCTACATTATGTGTCCTAATCATAAAGACCCTCTGTCCCCCTTCTCCCTCCCTTCCCAACCAACCTCCCCAGTCCCTTTCCTTTGGCAACTATTAGTCCATTCTTGGGTTCTGTGAGTCTGCTGCTGTTTTGTTCCTTCAGTTTTTTCTTTGTTCTTATATTCCACACATGAGTGAGATCATTTGATACTTGTCTTTCTCCACCTGACTTATTTCACTGAGCATAATACCCTCTAGCTCCATCCAGGTTGTTGCAAATGGTAGGATTTGTTTTCTTATGGCTGAATAATATTCCATTGTGTGTATGTACCACATCTTCTTTATCCAGTCATCTACTCATGGATACTTAGGTTGCTTTCATTTTTTGACTATTGTAAATAGTGCTGCAATAAACATAGGGGTGCATATATCTTTTTGAAACTGGGCTCTGCATTCTTAGGGTAAATTCCTAGGAGTGGAATTCCTGGGTCAAATAGTATTTCTATTTTGAGTTTTTTGAGGAACCTCCATACTGCTTTCCACAATGGTTGAACTAATTTGCATTCCCACCAGCAGTGTAGGAGGGTTCCCCTTTCTCCACATCCTCACCAACATTTGTTGTTGTTTGTCTTTTGGATTTGGCCATCCTAACTGGTGTGAGGTGATATCTCATTGTGGTTTTAATTTGCATTTCCCTGATGATTAGCAATGTGGAGCATCTTCTCATGTGCCTGTTGGCCATCTGAATTTCTTCTTTGGAGAGATGTCTGTTCAGATCCTCTGCCCATTTTTTAATGGGGTTATTAGCTTTTTGTTTGTTGAGGTGCATGAGCTCTTTGTATATTTTGGATGTCAACCCCTTATTGGATATGTCATTTATGAATATATTCTCCCATACCATAGGGTGGCTTTTTGTTCTGATGGTGTCCTTTGTTGTACAGAAGCTTTTTAGTTTGAGATAGTCCCACTTGTTCATTTTTGCTTTTGTTTCCCTTGCCCATGGAGGTATGTTCATGAAGAAGTTGCTCATGTTTATATTTAAGAGAGTTTTGCCTATATTTTCTTCTAAGAGTTTTATGGTTTCATGACTTACATTCTGGTCTTTGATCCATTTCAGGTTTACTTTTGTATGGCGTTAGACAGTAATCCAGTTTCATTCTGTTACATGTAGCTGTCCAGTTTCACTCGCAGCAGCTGTTGAAGAGGCTGTCATTTCCCCATTGTATATCCATGGCTCCTTTATCATATATTAATTGACCATATATGCTTGGGTTAATATCTGAACTCTTTATTCTGTTCCACTGGTCTATGGGTCTGTTCTTATGCCAGTACCAAATAGTCTTGATTACTGTGGCTTTGTAGTAGAGCTTGAAGTTGGGAAACGAGATCCCCCCTGCTTTGTTCTTCCTTCTCAGGATTGCTTTGGCTATTCGGGGTCTTTTGTGGTTCCATATGAATTTTAGAACTATCTGTTCCAGTTCGTTGAAGAATGCTGTCAGTATTGTGATAGAGATTGCATTGAATCTGTAGATTGCTTTAGGCAGGATGGCCATTTTGACAATATTAATTCTTCCTAGCCAGGAGCATGGGATGAATTTCCATTCATTAGTGTCCTCTTTAATTTCTCTTAAGAGTGTCTTGTAGTTTTCAGGGTATAGGTCTTTCACTTCCTTAGTTAGGTTTATTCCTAGGTATTTTATTCTTTCTGATGCAATTGTGAATAGAATTGTTTTCCTGATTTCTCTTTCTACTAGTTCATCGTTAGTGTATAGGAATACAACAGATTTCTATGTATTAATTTTGTATCCTGCAAGTTTGTTGAATTCAGATACTAGTTCTAATAGTTTTAGAGTGGATTCTGTAGGGTTTTTTATGTACAATATCATGTCATCTGCAAACAGTCACAGTTTGACTTCTTCCTTACCAATCTGGATGCCTTTTATTTCTTTGTGTTGTCTGATTGCCGTGGCCAGGACCTCCAGTACTGTGTTGAATAAAAGCAGGGAGAGTGGGCATCCTTCCCTTGTTCCCAACCTTAGAGGAAAAGCTTTCAGCTTCCCCCTGTTAAGTATGATGTTTGCTGTGGGTTTGTCAGATATGGCCTTTTTTATGTTGAGGTACTTGCCCTCTATACCCATTTTGTTGAGAGTTTTTATCATGAATGGATATTGAATTTTGTCACATGCTTTTTCAGCATCTATGGCGGTGATCATGTGTTTTTTGTCCTTCTTTTTGTTGATGTGGTGGATGATGTTGATGGATTTTCAAATGTTGTACCATCCTTGCATCCCTGAGATGAATCCCACTTGATCATGGTGTATGATCCTCTTGATGTATTTTTGAATTCAGTTTGCTAATATTTTGTGGAGTATTTTTGCATCTATGTTAACCAGGGATATTGGTCTGTAGTTTTCTTTTTTTGTGGGGTCTTTGCCTGGTTTTGGTATTAGAGTGATGCTGGCTTCTTAGAATGAGTTTGGAAGTATTCCTTCCTCTTCTATTTTTTGGAAAACTTTAAGGAGAATGGGTATTATGTCTTCTCTAAATATCTGATAAGATTCAGCAGTGAATCCATCTGGCCCAGGGGTTTTGTTCTTGGGTAGGTTTTTGATTACTGATTCAATATCATTGCCGGTAATTGGTCTGTTCAGATTTTCTGTTTCTTCCTTGGTCAGTCTTAGAAGGTTGTATTTTTCTAGAAAGTTGTCCATTTCTTCTAGGTTATCCAGTTTGTCAGCATATAGATTTTCATAGCATTCTCTAATAATTCTTTATATTTCTGTGGTGTCTGTCATGATTTTTCCTTTCTCGTTTCTGATTCTGTTTATGTGTGTAGATTCTCTTTTTCTCTTAATAAGTCTGGCTAGGGGTTCATCTATTTTGTTTTCTCAAAGAACCAGCTCTTGGTTTCATTTATTTTTTCTATTGTTTTATTCTTCTCAATTTTATTTATTTCTTCTCTAATCTTTATTTTGTCCCTCCTGCTGACTTTGGGCCTCATTTGTTCTTTATTTTTCCAGTTTATATAATTGTGAATTTAGACTATTCATTTGGGATTGTTCTTCCTTCTTTAAATAGGCCTGGATTGCTATATACTGGTCCTCTCTCTTTTTTTTTTATAGAACAAAGACTGTTTTCCCTGGCTCACACGGAGACTGTATAAGATTGTGCTCCAAACACCCGCATAAACAATTCCATCTGATACGGGGGACTCTGCCGCTTTGTAGTTTCAAGAATTCAAACTCGTCATCTCTCTGAGACTTAGGCCTGTCATCAGCACAGTACATTGGGGACCGTAATACCCCAAGCTAGAGTGACTGTGGGGATTAAAGGGGGTGATGGTATGCCGAGGCCCATGCTTGGCACACAGGAAGCCTCCCCTAAGCGTTGGGTCTTTCCTTCCTGCTCTAAACATTGTTCAGCTGCGTCTGATCTCCCCTTACCACTGGTGGGATCTTGGGCAAGCAGGTCACCTTCTCAGAACCTCAACTTACCCCCTCTATGAAATTCAGAAAACCCAATGTTCATTCTAGAATATCCTTGCCAGATGAGTCATGTCAAGTGCTAGTAAATGGTAGGTGCTCAATAAATGTTAGTTTCCTTACCTCCCTGCCATTAGAATATTAATAATAGTAATAATAATTATATAATGATAAGATAATATTAATAATATCTAGTGCTTACTGTGAGTCAACACTTTACATTGATTAACTCCTTTAAACCTCACAACTCAAAGTAGGTAATATTGACCTCACTTTATAGATGAGGCACCGAGAAGTGGTGTAACTTATACAAAGACCCACAGCTTAGGAGTGATGGTACTGAGATAAAGTGCAGCTCTCTGACTTCAGTGCCCAACTTCTAACCACTGCGTTAATAACTGGTACATCATGGATTGGCACCCACTGTGCGGTAAGGCAAGTAATATGCCAGTGCTTTACAGTTTTTAACTCATTTAATACCCCCAACCATCATATGAGGTAGGAACTCTGGTTATCCCAATCTTACACATGAGTAAACTAAGTCACAGAGAAGTTAAGTATCCAGTGTCCCATGGCAGAGCCAGGGTTTGAATCCAGGGAGTTTGACTCTTCCCCACCACACTGTATAGTCTCATTTAGTTCTCATAACTGTCAAATAGCGGTATGCCCATTTTGCAGAGAAGGAGGGTTGAGGCTCAGGAAGTGCATGTGACCTGGCCAACCTTACACAAAGGATCTTTAGATGAGTTGGGGCTTGCTCTTAGATCCACAGGCCCATCTGGGATCATCCCTGAACCCTGATCCAGGTGATCAGGAACCACCACCCTTAAGGCAAGAAGCCTCCTGCAGGGCTCAGAGAGGTGGCCTGTCTCACAGGCCAGAACCTTGACTGTGACAGAGAACTCAGCTCTCAGCCTTCCCCAGGCGAGCTGCTTTTGGGGGCGAGGCATTCTAGGCAAGAATCCAGGCTGAGTGGGTGGGGAAATGCTTTCTATTTTCTGGGAAGGTGGGGATGATGGACAGCGCATCCAGGCAAGGAGACTTGGGAGATGTTTTTTATGCAGCACCTGGACCTTGCTTCTCAATGGCCCAAATCTTCAGGGCTGCATGTTGGCAGGCAAAATGCAAGTTGATAGGAGCCAAGTGACACTCTTCCTGCCCGCCAGGAAATCAGTCGAGCATTTGGCATATATTGGGCACCTTCTCTGGGTTCCTCTTTGTGCAAAGGAGAACGA